AACTGCATGCAATTGTAGGGATTTAGAAATTAATGTGCTGTCCAGCAAAGAGACAGAACTCTTCCTTTCCTGCTCCCCATGCTATCCAGTAAATATTATTGAGCATTGTTTTAATGTCTGATTGATTCTTTACTTTATTTCAGACTGAGTTGTCTTCTTGGGAGGGGGAGTTGTATCATCAGCTGAGATCTGATGGGAAGTCAGCCTTCCACTGAGGCACAGGTGATTTGTCCTTAACCAAATGCATCCATACTGAGAAGATCTGATTTAATTTTGTTTTGCCAGTGTCCACTTGTACTACCTGTTTCCCACTCTGGAGGAAGGGGGATTAGCTACATATCGCACTGCCATCGTACAGAACCAACATCTGGCCATGTTGGCTAAGGTAGAGTCCTCTGCTTTATGTGTAAGCTTGTTTGAAACTTGTAGATAAGATACTGTTAATGAGTGAGTTGCTGCTTGAGCATTCCGTCTGCTTTGAACATCAGTGGCTTTACCATATTTTGTGAGCTGGATTTGGAATAGAGGAACTCTTTTCAAGTTGAAAGTAGATTTTAAAGATGAGATAGGACTTAGTATTTTCTCCAAAGCAGTTTTTTAAGAGTAGTCATTTTTGCCAGCAAAACGGTAGGTTTTTAGGATATCTGTGTTGAAGGCATCTCTATATTTAGCTTTAAATTGCAGTGATAACGAAGTTGATAGTGGAAAGACAATGGAGGAAAAAAAAAAAAATTGGATGATTATAGAATGACTTCCTGATAGGTTATGTAGCAAGAAAATGGCAGCCAGGGGTAGAGAGAAAGTGAAAAAACTCATTTTGTCTGCTCTCTGACCTAAAAAGTCATTTTCAGATTTGCTGTGATCTGTCAAAGAGCAGCATGTTTTGGTGCTCTTTGGTGGCTTTTGGTGAAAAAACAGGCTTATGGCATTGGAAAATTTTGAGATCTCTCTGAATTTTAATTTTTAATTCTGTGGAAAACACGGACTGTTTACCTTTGTATGTGAAACTGAGGGGGAGTATGATGCAGAAATTTGAGTAAATTTATTCTCATAGATGATCTGATATTTTATTCAAATTTAGTTTTGTTAGCATTTATTTAAAAAAAAAAAAAAAAAGACTTACTATTATAATGTGCCAGGCCATACACACACATACACTCTGATGGTTTTCAAGTGCTATTTCAATCTTCTCTGACCATATTCACACAGTAATTAAAAAAAAAAACAACAAAACATATCTGGTGTTGAGATTTTGGCAAAAACCATATAATTTCTAACATATCATCTTTTTGCTTAGCTCTCAAGAGAGGTATGCAGTAGGCAGTGAAAACAATCATTTTCATCCAAAGCTTTCTTTAATGGTATGGATGGACATGAATTTATTGAAAAACATTTCGATCAGGGCTGTTTATAAATAGGTATTAAAATGCCTGACATTTCAATTTGCTTTATCATTTTAAAACCTGCATCAGGCAAGTTCATATGCTCTTAAAGCTCTGTTAGCAGCTTTTCTCATTGTAAATAGGCAATTTTTGATATTGCAGAATGTTTTCAATGTATTTATTTATATTAAATAAAGCTGTAAATATTAGAGAGATCTGTACATTCCTGATTTCCCAAAGTATCCTTTTTCTCTATTATATAGCCTAAGTGACCTTCCTGGTTTCACCCATTATCCTGTGGAGTATCACATTGCATTCAGTTTGCTTCCTCAATGCAGTTCTCAGCTCCTCAGCTTCTCTCGTGCCTGTGGAACGCTCTTTTAACTGAGGATCAAATGATGCTCTTTTGTAGCTTCTAAGAGCTTTATAGCAGAAATTTTAAAAATAATCTGAAACGTGGCTCAATCAAATATGAGATGTAAAATGCAGGCAAAATACATTGGATACAAGCTCCTGAAATGGAGTTAAGCCATTGAGGGGAAAAAACCCAGCTAACATGAAGAAATGAGAATAATCTGTAAGAAATTTCAGATAATATTGACTCCTTGAACTGTAGGAAGTGCAATGCAACATAGTAAGTTGTAATTCCCTGTGTTCTGAACAGTGAATAGGCTCTCAGTCATTAAAAAATTGAAGGCCGCTTTTTTTTTTTCTTTTCAAATTGAAATGCATATAAGCCATACATCTCAAAGTCTTTAGTTTCTTCCCTTTTGCTTCTTCAATATACTTTAGGAGGATGAAGTTGAAAGTTAATGAGAAATTGGTCAGTAAAAATTTATACCCCTTTGGGAAGAACCTATTCTCATACAAATTTTGCAAGATGCACAAATCTCTCTTCTTTAAAAAAAATCCCATTAATGGGTTTGTGTCAGAAAGATGAATACATAGAGAACTTGGTATCTCTTGTATGCATTTCTATAGCAGAATTATCATATATTATATAATGTATCTGACTCACTACCTGCGATGCTAACTGGCAAGTAGAATTAATGGCTTGGGAAACAGATGAATGTTAATGACGTAAGTTTTAAAGAAAAAAAAAAAAAGCTAGATGGCACTGTGGCTTAAAACATCAGTCTCTGCTCTCGGTGCCCAGAGGCTGTTGTTACTGCCACCTGTTGACACTCTTAAAGGAAAGAGCTGGATGTTCTTTGGATTCAACCTACCAGAGTTCCCATTTCTCACTATTTTAATTTTACTCTATCTTCTTCTCGTAGTTGCAATCTTTCTCCTCAGTGTTAACTTTGAGTGTCCCTTCAGCATCTCCACAGGCAAATTGCACAAGGGCAAACCATCAGCAAAAAATACTGCATGCTGCACCATCCAACCAGTATCAGCCTATTTTTCCCTGTCACAGCCTCACCATTCCTCTTGAACTCATTACTAGATCTCACTAGTAACATGTTTTGATTTGGCTTCCATTAAAACCTTAGTCTGATAGTTTTTAGCTTTCCCATGGTATCACATTCTTGTTGCTTTCCTCTAGTAAACAAATACAAAGTGTTCTAATTTTAGCTTTAAAGCCTACGTCTGAGCTGAAATTGTACAGAGCACAGCTTTCAGGCTCCCTCAAGCCCTGTTGCTGCATAGTCATAATATAGCTGAACTCTAGTGGCTGCGGCTTGAGCTCTTGCATTTCTGTAACCCTGGTTTTGAATGTTTTCACATCTTCTGCAGAAGCTGGAACTGGATCGATTTATGCTTTATGCTCATGGTCCGGACCTTTGTAGGGAGTCAGATCTCCGCCACGCCATGGCCAACTGCTTTGAAGCCCTAATAGGTAAAGCATGTGTATTTATGCGTGCAGACAGTTGTGTGTTATTGTGCCCACACTGAGCATTGGAATTGATGGAGCAGGCGTAGGCCTGTGCTGAGTAGTGTTAATAAGGGTAGGGATAGTAAAGCTTCTTAAATTTCCCTTGTCTCTTTCCATCTACTGTCCATATGCTGTGGAGTATTACAGTGAAATCTCACCATTCATCTCCTGACTCGCATGCCTCTCCGATGTACCTGTTTCATGGTGTTGTAGCATGGCACTTCCATGTGTCACCTTCGGACTGCACCACTTGTGTCACTGTGGTGTGCCACAGGCAGTCCTCTGAGGAAGAGAGGTTCATTCACCACGGCATTCACCATGGCCTGGCAGCAAAAGTGGAGACTCATTGCTTCCAATAAATAGTACTTACACAGACCTGCAAAACATGAAGTCCCACGTTAGCCCTGAGTTTTCAGCTATGCAGGTCAAGCTTTTTGTATTTTCCTTCCAAAGAGAAAACATCCCAATATGCCATGGCTGGTATAATAAAGCTACAAAAACCCTCTCGCTGAGGGTAGAGGGGAGCTTTGCCAAGTTAGCTGAAGGACGCTGTAATGCTGATCAGTGACTGGCTATGCTGGTCGATGAATTCATTTGTAGAGAAAGAGAAATCAGGAATGCTTGACTACAGTTATCAAAATCAGCAAACAGGAAATGGGGAAATGTGGTGCTATAGCCACACAGGTTCTATTTCATATAGAATATTTTTATAAATCTTTATTTGATTGAATACACGAAACAAGCTTAATGTCAGTGATTCAGCATCATGCACATCCCAATGTACTATATGTGATATTGACTCTAGGAATATCTTAGCCCTGTTCAGGTCTTTAGATACTACACAGGCTCCTAAAGCATTTTATCCTCCTTTGAAAATACATCACAGTTTGCTTAGATGGCAACGTTTCTGTGCATTCTGCCTTGGGCCAAATTGCTTTTCATCTTATCAAGAAATAAGACTTGTCTTTTTAACTCTCTTTCGTTTTCCATGAGTGCTTTGATCTTTAATTAAAAAATAAAAAAGAAACAGAAAAAGAACACTAGATCTGTATCTGTGACTTTGTTCATATACTTCAGCCTGACAAGGATGTGATGAGGAGGACTTTCTGGCAGACGCTGAGATTTGCTAAGAGAGCAGGCTTGCTATTTAACCTCCAGTGTGAAGTTGCTTTGGAAGTTAGTTGAGCAGTAGGGTTTTGTTAGGGCCACAGCTAAAAGCTGGAAGTTTGTGAAGGGACAATAGAAGTATATTTGGGGTCTGGAGCTCCTACCTTGGAGGACAAATCTGGTGCTTTTTCCCCGTAATGAAAATAATAACGAAAAGGCTGCCTAGTACCTGCTTAAAATTCTGTGCTCTCATAACGTGCCTCTGGCAAGATACTCTTACAAACCCCCAAGCCATTCTCCAAAGAGTCCAAAGAGAGTAGTTGACCTACTGAAAAATCAGAAGGAAAGTTTAAAAAAAAAGAGAGAGTAAAGAAAAGCACAGTGAGGCAGAGCATGTTCTCCCTATATTTGGGAATATCGACTCCCCTGCTCTATGTTCTTCACGTAGCTATGCATTCCCTTTGCTTTTATACAGCTGTGCTTACAAGGACTAGTATTAGGATTTTGGAAGCCCTTTTGTAAAGAGAATCAAAGGACAAAGTGTTGACGTCCTGTTTTAAAAGTGCCTGTGCAGGTACAGTGTGTACGGTACACACAAAAAATATAACCTGCTAGCACAAGTTTTATTAAATTTTTTACTAAAGGCCATATGGAAGGCTAGCAATGGCTGTATACACCATTTGAAAAAAAAAATATATATATCTATAGAACAAATAATCTCCAGAAATGTAGAGAAATGAAGGTTCCAATTTAGATAATATGCTATTGTAATATTAGGGGAATACTGAGGTTTGGAATAGTCCTGACAGATTTGTATGCAAGATGTAATGTTGAAGAAACAGAAAAAATGAAATTTATTCACTGGCTGTTGGAGTTTATTTCGTGACTGTCACTGTCAACATATTGTACAGTTATCTGATTACTGGAAACCACTTTTAGAAATAGATTGCTTTAAGACTAAATTCCTTAAACTTTACTCTTAGGGCATATCACCTTCTATTACTGATTTAACTGTGTCTTTTTTTTTTGGTATGAATTTTACAGCCATTGATTTATGTTGGTGTTTAATATGCCTTAAATTTCTCAGAAAATTGGACTTGCTATTTTGATTCTTATCACAGAAGGCATACGTTTAAAAAAATAAATATATTGGAGATGAGGAAGGCAGAGATCTTTGACTTCTCTGTGCTTAGTAATTTCCTAAGTAGTAATGTATTTCTGCCATTTGATGTATTGGTCCCTTCATACAGGAGCTGTTTATTTAGAGGGGAGCCTAGAAGAAGCGAAACAATTATTTGGACGTTTACTCTTTAATGACAAGGTATTTATATAACTTGCAACTTGACTTCCATTTTAAAAATAACTGAAAACATGTCCATTGTTTTACCTAGGAATCATAAATGAACAGGAATACACCTGTTGCACTGAGTCCCTAGAAATTTATTGTAGCATGGCACATTCAGGACAGCAAACAGCACTGATTCAAGAGGAAAAAATATGATATTTCCTCAGGTTTGCTGTTTTTGGTTGCTCAGGTGGGGAAGGGCCTATGGTATGGGAAACCTGCAGACTTCCATTCAAAGTGCCTCTCAAAAAGCGGAGATGGGTGCTATGGATCCAAACAACATGCTGGCAGAAATGGCGCACTATTCCTGTTTCATCAGTTAAATAAATACCCCCACCCCCAAAGCTATGCTAAATGCATTTTCTAAAACTAAAATACGTATCTTTGAAAGGGGAATGCATCCAACATTTACCCAATGGCAGAATTAAAATCCGATCCATTTTTTGCAGATTATATCTTAGATCACTGCTGACTGGAATTTACTCCAGACAATAGTTAAGGACAGTGAAGGGGGAGGTCTGTTGATATTGATTAATTTTATAAGTTTTACAAATTATTTTGTGAAGTTGGGAGCTATTATACATACCTCCCTTTGTTTGATTGGCCACACTCACTTTTTATTGTTACTCTCATCTTTCCTCGTGTTTTGGCATGTCACTTCTGCCTTAAACGGAACAAAAGCCCTTTGGGTCAAGGAACAAGTTTCACCTGCTCAAAAAGTAACCAGTATGTAATGCTGAAGCAATGCCTCTGGCAGTGGTGAAGGATTGGTTGATATAGTCTTTTCCTTCTTTATAGTCTGTGAATCTGTGGAAAGACAAAGTTTATTAGAAATAAAAGTATTTTGTAGAATATTCTAACTTAGTGTTTACTTGCTGCTCAGTGCCTGTAATGAGGAGAGACTATATAAAATAAAAGAATACAAGTTTTTTTGATTTTTAGTCTTGGCTTTTGATCAAATCAAACTTGCTACTGAGGAGGAGTAGGGAATAAAGTTAGACCTGGGGCTTAAACAAATCTTTTTTTTTTTTTTTTCCTTCAACCAGCTTTTATTTGGTTCAAGGATTTTTCTACCTCCTTGACACAAGCTAATTGGGAGAACTACAGGCAGTTTGAACAGCAAATACACAATTTTAAAAATTAGTTTGCCAGCACTATTGAATTTGCAATAAGCAGAGTCAGCATCTGAAATAGTTCAGTATTTCAAGTAATGACATTTTATTTAGTACTGTGGAATTTGTTAAATGACTCCCTTGAGCATTAAAGGCATCTCTCAATGTTTACAGGACCTGCGGGATGTATGGCTTAATTATCCACTACACCCACTCCAAGTAAGTTGTCCCTTTCTGTAATAAATTTCATAGCTGTGTTTTATTTCCAGGGATGCTTTTCTGTAGGTTTCTGCTGTAGTGACATTTCAGAAAATTTACTAACAAGTAGCCAGAGGAGTGTGTATATTTGCCTTTATGATTTTTTTTTGATAAATAATGAGTTTCTACATCTCTGAGGATTAATTGTTCACCTTTCCTTGTCTTGTGTTTGATATATGATTGTGTTTCTCGTACAATAAATCTAGTGAGAGGTAACATTTTGGCTTCTTCATCTACTGTAAGTTGGGACAAAAGGGGCACAAAAATGGTCTTCGGTACCTATTGTGTTGACCTGAAAATAAGACCTATGTTTTAATCTTAGGAAGGCACGTTAGTAAAATGACTTAAGAGTGTAATGCTAGATATTTGCCTGATTCCAGTAGCTTTAATAGCAAGTAAACACTGAAAATATGGACAAGTTAAAGGTAACTTATCCTCCATCTGCTTGCAAAACCCATAAGTGGTCCGCAGTAGGTTAACTTACAATTCAGGGAGCTGGGAGAGCTGGTTTTGAGTCCTTGCTTCCTGACTGAATTCTGATGGAGACCCTGAGCAAGTCATGGAGCCTCTTTGCACTGTAGTTCCCCATTTTACAGAAAGGCTGATAGTATCCTCCAAGGTGTGCTGCGGGTGTGCTGAAAGGATAGCTGTATTCAAGTTGTGATTCAGTCTGTTAGTAAGGCTTTCAGGATCACATGAACATCTGAGAGAGACATGACCTTCTTATTACCTCTTTTGTCCAGCCAAACCGCTGATGTTTTGACAGTCAGTTTGACTCCATTAAAACTATTTGGGAGCACACCTTTCCAGCAGAAGGTCACTTAGAGACCCTACATCTGAAGTGTTTCAAATATTTGGTACAGACTTTGCAGTGGACATGTAGGCAAAACCTTGAGGAAAAACCTTGAGCAACAGATCAGTGAACCTGAAGTGCTTGTATAACCAACTCTGAATCACTGTAAGAGAAGAGTAAATGGAAAAGAGTCTTAGTGGAAAGACCAGCTTTCCAGATTCAACACTAGCTATCCCAAGTGGTGCCACAAAGCACCCAAGAAAATTCTTCTGGATTTCTTTCTTTTTATTATTTTATTTTCTTTTAGTGTCTTTCTGTCTGCTTTCACAAAGGAGGCTTGGATTCTGCGTAGGTTGGAGACAGGCAGTATATGCAGTTTATCATTTCTTGTTCTTGCTTTAACTCTGTGGGATGACAGTGCATTTTCTTCCATGGCCCAGAGCCCATCCTAACTCCCTGCTTGCCAGTAGGGGAAGCACAGGCTTCCCAGGTCAGCCACTGGGAAGAGCTAGCCTGAAAACTGACATTTTTAAAATTATTTAGTGTGACTAACAATATGGCAAATGAAATGCCAATTAAAAAGAATAGTTCTGGGTGAGATGTATAGAACTGAAGGCCTGTAACCCTGTCAATTTGTAGCAGGCAAATCAGATGAAACTGTAATAAAATAATTAGTGGACACCTGGATAAATGTGATCTGTTTTGAAAGAATCAACATGACTTTTGCAAAGGCAAATACTGCCTTTGAGACGGATAGGAGATAAAGAAGTGGTGATGCAGGTGCTATTTTCTGCTGGGTTTCTTAAAAAGGATTTTGACTAGCCTTTCATCAAAGACTTGAGGAAATAAACTAAATAAACAAATAAAAAAGAACCTCAACAAGTGTTAGCTCTTGCATAGATTTAAAGGAATGGTTGAAACACAAGAAACAGAGGCCTGGACTGAAGACCATTTCTTAGATCATCAGTGGATTTCGCAAGGGATCTGTGCTGAAACATGTGCTGTTCACATCAGCAACCTATAACTTAGGAAAGATGAGCAGTGAGGTAGCAGTATGTTGACAGTACCAAATCATTCAGGCTCATAGGGATGACAGCAGACTGAAGAATTGTGGTCTGACTACAAGACTGCAACAGTAACTGAATAGGCAGTAAAAAAAAAAAAAAGCAGATGGAATTCCATGTAGGTAACTATAAAAGAAGAAGTGTGGATGAAGCAGAAAACAGCCCTGGCTCCACAAGCAACTGAAATCTGAACGGAACGTTAGCACTCAGGAACGGGATTTTTGGATTAGGGTAGGTAGAAATGTCAGCTGAAGGCTGAAGTGTTTAAAGAAAAAGGCAAATTAAACGTTACCAATTACTAGAAAAAAGCGTAGAGAGCAAAACAGAAAAGATGCTAATGCCACTCTAAAAAACTAGCTTATGCACACCTTGAATATTATGTGCTGTTCTGCCCCACATTTTGAAAAGGATATAGTAGAACTGAAAAGGTGATAAGAAAGACAGCAACCATAGTCAAAGATAAGGAACGACTTCTCCTTGAAGAAAGCCAAGTAGGTGAGTGATCCGGGAAAGAGGTGGTGGGAAGGGACGACCTGGAATAGAGGTCTCCAAAATGAGTGGATGAGCAGTGAAACAGTTCTTCACTCTCTCCTCCAGTATAGGGAGTAGGAGGCATTGAGGTGCAACTAGAAAGTCCTAAGTTGAAAACAAGTGAGAACGTTGTTTCTTTAGGAGAGAAACAGGAGATCTGTGGAACATATTGCTGAAGGTTGTTGGAGGTATTGAAAGCTTTCGTGGGACATCAGGAACAAGACTATGGAAGAGGGCTTGCCTTCCACAACCCATTGTGGGTTACCAAGTACACTTAAACAGCATCAAACTCAGGAAGTCCTGAGCTGACAGTAGTTGGAAGATGACCAGGAAAGTCCTTAATATGTTTTTGCTGTTCTTTCTTTTCCTTTAAACATCTGCATGTGGATACTTCCTCCACTGAGGCATTGCTATATGCGAGAGAGGCACTAAGTGGCTGAAGGAAATGCCTGAGTCATTTCCCAGCTCCAGAAAGCCATTTAACAAAGTCAAGGGCATACCAGACAAGTAGCTGAAAAGAACAGATACTATACAGAAACAAGATGCAGGGCTGGAAGGAATTTTTAGTCTGACTTAAAGTGACCATTTTATTTGGGCACAAGTGGAAAGTGCCCTTTCAAAAGTGCCCTTTTGAATTTCGTATGCTGCATATTTATTTATTCATTATTCCTTCCTACTGAAGGAAGAGGGAGAAATAGATTTTGTGGGGTTTTTGTTTCCATCTTGATATGTCGTTGATCTGCCAGCCCTACTGAATCTGTTGCTCGATTTCAAGCAATCTGATAACATTAAAGATCTCAAAGACACATAGAATTTTGTATGTTTTATGAAAATAAATATCCTATGTTGCCCATATGCAGAGACAGAACCACATAAGCAACACATTATAAATGCCTTAACTGTTTTAAAAAAAAAAAAAAAAAAAAACTTTCATCAGGGCTCATATTTTCTTTGACCGGTGGTAATTATCCAAGACAAAAAGCAACAGGAAAGTGGGTTTTCTCAGTTCAGCTGTTCACAGAACAACTTGTTCGCTGTATTCTTTGCCTTTGCTTTATAAAAGGTTTGCTTTTTTCTTAAAAATTTTGGAAATTGATGATATCTATTTGTCATTATTTGCACTTAATCTTATTTACAGCTGCAAGAGTCCAATACTGACAGACAACTCATTGAGACCTCTCCAGTTCTTCAGAAGCTCACAGAGTTTGAGGAGGCAATTGGAGTAATTTTTACTCATGTTCGGCTACTAGCACGTGCGTTCTATGCAGAGACAGAACCACATAAGCAAAACATTATAAATGCCTTAACTGTTTTAAAAAAAAAAAAAAAAAAAACTTTCATCAGGGCTCACATTTTCTTTGACCGGTGGTAATTATCCAAGACAAAAAGCAACAGGAAAGTGGGTTTTCTCAGTTCAGCTGTTCACAGAACAACTTGTTCGCTGTATTCTTTGCCTTTGCTTTATAAAAGGTTTGCTTTTTTCTTAAAAATTTTGGAAATTGATGATATCTATTTGTCATTATTTGCACTTAATCTTATTTACAGCTGCAAGAGTCCAATACTGACAGACAACTCATTGAGACCTCTCCAGTTCTTCAGAAGCTCACAGAGTTTGAGGAGGCAATTGGAGTAATTTTTACTCATGTTCGGCTACTAGCACGTGCGTTCACTCTGAGGACAGTGGGTTTTAACCATTTGACTCTGTGAGTATGCAGCAAGAATTGCCCTGGTGTAGCTCTGTTGGTCCCTCTGTTAGTATCCCAAATTACTTCATTAAAACCAATTTTAAAAAAACCCACCTCGGGCTGTTACATTAGTTCTCCAGAAAAGAACGGAACAGCTCTTTTTGCAAGCCCACCTGGCTCAGTATCCTGTCTTTTACAGTAGTCAATAGTGAATGCTTTGAGAAGGAATTTAAGGAATGTTCTAAAGTCATCCTGGTGTATCTTCTGAGCTTCTTGCTTCAGTGACCTTGGGGCTTCATCCTTGACACTGTAGCGAAGCATATTTGAAGGCACATTTGAGGAGAGGAAAGAAGTAAAGTCACATTCTTCAGGCCAAGTAAAGCCTTTGCATTCTGTGGTTTGTGCAACACCTAACACAATAGGCTTTTGGTCTCCGACAAGATCTGTTAGGCCCCATTTTAAAGCAACAGTAGCGTCATAGCAACGGATACCTAGTCCAGGATCTCATACAAGTTTAGACCCTGATCCTTTTACTTCTTTGTGAGTGGACAAACTTTTTTCTCCATTGAAGTCATTGCATTCATTAGTTTGCTTGCTTGTAAGAAACTGCAGATAGAAACCACATCCCATTTCAAACTTGATGTCAACTTATTCCTCCTCTCCTTCCATGAGTCCCACATCTGTGACCTAATAATTGTGTTTATCTGCAGCTTCTCTGATTTGCTTTCTCTTGAAAATCAGTATTGCAAAGGTAATGAACTGTGTTTTCGTCTCATCTGGTTAACACAAGAAAATTATCTTAAATGTGTTTAAAAATGAGCGAGGCTCACTTTCAGATCACTCTATTTTAATTTGTGTGTGCATGCTGGTTTTGTATTTTCCCTTCCTGAGTGCTTATTGACTTTGCTGTATTGATGTCTCATTTTTCAGAGGCCACAATCAGAGGATGGAATTCCTGGGTGACTCCATAATGCAGTTGGTAGCCACAGAGTATTTATTCATACATTTCCCTGATCATCACGAAGGGCACTTAACGGTGAGACTGCCATCAGTCATGCTCTCCAGGAGAACAAGTGTGAGATGGAAACTGAAATTATGGAAGCAGCTAGTGAATTATTCTGGATTTGATTAATAAAAGGAGCCTCAGCAACCACTGCTCTTAATAAGGCTTTGCTAATTTTAAGACATGAGTTCTGCAATGAATAGGAAATGGTGATTTACAAGCCCAGTGCAATAATTTTTGTTCTGTCTGTGAAATAGATCAATAGTTTTAATGATGTCAGTGGTGAACTTGAGAGGTGAGACTAGTCCTTATTTAAAGACAGATGTTTTAAACCATTTGTTTAAACCATGAGTTTTTTATTCATGACTATTAGGCTGTGGAACCAGAAAGGGTTTTATTTCCTGATAAGATTGCTATTTTACAATCTATTTTACTCTAGTTTGCCCATTGTCCTCAATCCAGAGCTCCTGTAGAAGATTTTGAATTTATTCTTAGTACTGTTATGGTCATCTGTTGTTGGTTACCATAGCCTTTCAGCCTTTCTTCTCCAGTCTCTGCAACCCAGTTTGGGGATCTTTCAACAATTTAGTATTTTAAGCGTAGAGTGGTAGTATGTACAATTTTTTTCAGAGGACTTGATTCCTTTAGTAGTACAGTTAGACAGTTTAGGGTTTATTTGTGAAGAAGAAATTTTCTTAGGTTTACTGAATTTTCTTAGTTTTCAAATCTTGATTAGAATGAAAAAAGGATAAAAGTATCAGGAATGTAAGTCAAGCCCTTTAGTTAAAATTAGGAGGGATTTTTGTAGATTTCTTAGCTACTGGCAGTGGTTTTCTCAAATCAATAAAATGGTGGTGATGCAAAGTCTCTAACAAGCAATATTTTTTCAAGAACATGCTTCTTAGGTGCTTGAGGCTAAATCTGTTTACAAAGAAAAGAATTATATGCTCTCAATAAAAGTAATTTTTATTTCTTCACTATCTCTTAAATTCCATTTACATTTTCATGGATTCTTCTGCAGCATTCAGGAGACAGACTAAATAAACCCTGAATTTTTAATGTAAAAATGAAAAGGAGGAGGATCCTCATATCAATTTTTTCTCATGGAGAAACAAAAACATGAAGCAGAAATCCAAGGTTGCCATTTTTTCCTTTATAGATGACTATTAAAAGTGTAGACGTCAGTGTTGTTAAAGTAAGATAAATCTTTCAAGAATCATATGTCAGGAAGGGTATAAAATGTTGCTATTAATGGGTTTAAATACTCAGAACAATGATCAGAACATCTCTGTGTTGCTTAATTTATTGATAAATGACTTGACAAGTAGAATGAGTTGCATATTGTCCAAGTTTGCAGGGGAAACTGCCGAGTTTGGACACAGAGTGGAATGGACATTGAGAATACATAAAAATTCAAAGAAGTAGGCAATGCCTGGAATAAAATGTAAATTCTGGGGGTGCCCATGCAATGAAAAACAAAATTGTCTTTGAATGTTTTTAACTTTGAGGACAAATGAGATGAGGCTTGTGAGGGGGTAGGAGACTGATGATGTGGGACCTGAAGAGAAACAACAAACACTGATCTCTCTCTCACCTTTTATCTAGGGACATACTTGTATTTGAAGTAGTAACGGAGCATCAGCTGAATCATGTATGTAGTGCTGAGGACAATTTCGGTCAAGGATGGGAAAATTCCACTTGACTAATATTGCAATGGCTTTCCGGTGTCACGAGATTTCTTGTGAAGAGATGTCTGGAAATTTAATTATATTTAAGAAAAAGGAAGAGGAGAACAATTTTGTTAAAACGTTTTGAGAGAGCCAAATGATATGGCAAAAAAGAAAATGAAACTTGGTTCTCAAAAAATACAACTTCCCCAGTGTTGGCTCATGCTACAGTCGTGGGTAGTAGAATGCTGGGGGAACCCAGAAGAGTGCAAGTAACTTCCTTTGTAGCCGGAGTTAAGCTCTGGTTGAACATACTTAATGGCACAGGCTGTATCTTGCCGGGGTGGAGACTAGCTCCCAAAAAGATGTTGGAAAGGGACAGATACCCTGTCCTCCTCATATCATCAAAGAGAATTGGGTTTGTTGCTGGATGCCATTTGTAGAGGAGGCAAGTTATAATACGGAAGAGGTTGTGAACTACAGTGCTAGATGGTTATCTGGTTCTTTCCATCCTCAGTTTACTCTATGTGTGTATGTTACTCCTTATTAGTTTTACCATAATAATAATCATGGATGAGGGTCCCATCATAATAGATCCTCTGCAAGCACAACAAAAAAGATCCTCCTCCTTCTACTGCGGAAAACAGCTTTTTGTCAAATGTTACTGCACTTTTGTCTCATAGGTTGCATATCGTGGTTAGATTTTGGTTGGGGAATGTATTTATTGCTTATCTTAAGGACATAGGAAGGATTTTGGAAAGGAACAAGTAGGAAGATGATTTTGAGCAGAGGTTAGGAAGGCAGGTAATAATCCTCTTCTTTCTGCAGTCTGCCTAGTTTATGAAGATCAAGATGTAAGTACCTGCTTCATACATCATTGCCAAACAAATTATGAACATACTGTTCTTTATTCATCTGTTGTCAGAGATGAAGTATCAAGTACAGGGAATAAATCTTGATTTTCATAAGCTTAGTTGACATGCTGGAGCCAGGTAGCATATAACATGTGTCTAATAAGCTGAGCAAATGTGACATGGAAGACGGAGGGAAAAATATGCAGTGCAACTTCTCAGTTGTAGGTTATATATAAGCAGTGGAAAGAGAGACATTCTTTTCCCCACCCCATCCTGCCTCCCAGAGTAGCCCCAAATTTTTAAATTACACCATTTCATTTAAAGCAAAGAGAGAACAGGAAAAAAAAAATCACCCTAACCAGGAGTTTAGAAAATTGAATGAAAACCTGAAATTCCAAAGTACTCTTTAAAGTTATATGACGTAGGTCTTTGGTCTCTATATTTAAGCAATCTGCCTGCAACCAGCCTTAGGCACCTCAGGGGACTCTGCTGGAGGACCAGGTATCCAGGACTTTCATATGCATTGAAATTGCTAGAGCCAGTTCTTCCTCAAGGACACATCAGCTCAGCCATACTGCCTTCATCAGAGCAGTGTAGCAGTATATATGGGCTATCCAGCTATGCTCTGCCCAAATGAATGGAACAGCTTCCTCATTTGCTGGTTCTGAAACACTAGATTGTCTCGCTTGAGTGTGTATTTGTTTTAATTATTGCCTATTTGTTTCTTATTTGATGGACTCTGCGAACTACTCTGTAGACTCCAGAATACTGTGTGTGCTTATATGGAAAAATGTGTAACTTTATATAATTCACTAGAAAATTGCAGATGAGCTGAAAAAGTATTGGAGTGGTGAAGAGATGGTGTTTGATGGCAAAGGAAATTCACAAACAAGCATTTTAAATGCAAGACTTAACTATAGAGGGAATGTATCTGTAGAAGAAATAAAATTTGGAAAAAGATTTGAAACAGAAGAAAAAGTCAGCAGGAGAATTGAGTGTGTGTGTGCATGTGTGTAAATTATACAGAATATGAGGTTTGCTGTGAGAGAAGAGAGAGGCAGCAAGGATAAATAACTTTTTCCCCCCAACTCTCCTTAGCTTTTAGAGTTCAGCATTGCTAGTTTTTACCATTGAGTGGAATTTATTTCTGTTGCAGCTGTTGAGAAGTTCTCTGGTGAACAACAGGACGCAGGCCAAAGTGGCAGAAGAGCTGGGTATGCAAGAATTTGCCATCACTAATGACAAAACAAAGAGACCTGTAGCTCTTCGGACTAAGACTTTGGCCGATCTCTTGGAATGTGAGTTAGTGTGGTTATAACTGCTTCGTACTTACCAACTTTCTTTTCTTCAGGGCTTGTTTAAGAAAGCCACTAGAAATCCCCCAAGTTGTTATTAAAGGTGCATGTTCAAATTTTCAAATGAATTATGCCTATACCATATGAATTATGCATTATACCTATGCAGGCCAGATTTTTGAACACTAGCCTACATTTTTGCAGGCTCACTAAGCAAGCATGAAGAAGGCATTATTGCAGGTATGAAGTTGCAGGCTTAGAAATGGAGGGGTTGTGAAGACCAGATAAAAAGCTATATCGCGAAAGATAAAACTTATCATCTCAGTCAAGCTATTTAATGACAGTTATAATATATCAGTAGTGTATTCTTGTCACCGTTAGAAAATAAAATATTTCCTTCAGAGGATGAATATTTTTGTGGTTCATTTAGCTGCATTCTAGGAGACTGTTTCAAAATGGCAGTTCCACAGGAGGGAAAGCCGCACGAAAATTAAATTATTTTTAGTCCATTTGTGAAAGTGTATGCTCCTTTCTTTCCAAAGAAAGTGAAACAGTAATAAATATTGTGCAAAGAAAGTTCATCCCTATCCTGTACATTCTGATACATTTTGTGAGCCATTCAGACCCCCTTGGCTTTTGCCAAATCCTCTTAGTAGATGGAAATCACACACAAACAGGAGTGATTTATATCTAAAGCATTTTTATGGTACCCGCTAGTGATTTATTTCTAAGTAGCCATTGTCTACTGATTAAAAAGTGGGATTAGGAGCTGAGTGTTGTTTCTACATCTTCAAATGGCTGACTGAATTTGGGTAAGTCATTTGATCTCTTGGTCAACTTTGTTTTTTCCTGTACGTGCAGGATAATAGTACCCTCATCAGATCACTGCTGTGAAACTTAATTGAATATGGCTTTAGAGTACTCAAGGATACTCGTTTCTAAAAGTGAAAGCTATTAACGTTGTTCTTGGATGAATGACAATACCTTTTTTTTTTCTCCCCCCCCCAGCCTTTATTGCTGCCCTGTACATTGATAAAGATTTGGAATATGTGCACACTTTCATGAATGTATGCTTTTTTCCACGTTTAAAGGTAAGGCCAGTAAGGTTGCTACTTTCCTGCTACTACCGTGCTTTTAGTATGTCATTGTGTTTTGGAGTCTTACCACAAACTCTCAACCATAAAAGCATCTTTGTGGACATCTTACAGGAGTTTATTTTAAATCAAGATTGGAATGACCCTAAATCTCAGCTTCAACAGTGCTGCTTGACTCTCAGGACAGAAGGAAAAGAGCCAGACATTCCTCTTTACAAGTAAGAAACAGCACCTTATGGATACAAGCTAATTATCAATCTTTCTTTTACAAAAAGGAAGATGTGATCAAACGCCCAACATTTTTTCCCATGCTTTGGCCTTATTTTAGCCCTCCAGTCCAAGCCGTTTAGTCTCTTCTGGTCTGAGGATCATAACTGTTGATTGAATGTTTCTGAGCTTTCGATGTTTTAAGCCATTGCAGGGAAGAATCAGTAAAAATTTTGCTTTTTAGAATTACAATGTGAAAAACAAATGTGTTCAGTGTTCATTGGCATCATTCTATCTTTTTTTTCTTCCTTTAACGTAAAATAGTGGGAATATTTTAAATGAAGCGAATAGAACAAGGACAGTGGCTGTTCAGATACAAAGTCAAGGTACCTCCATACTGTTTCCAGGAATATTATGAATTTTCTTTACGCCTCTGTGCAACCAAAAATATTGTGGTATACCTCCTGATTGTAGGCTCCAATTCTAATCAGCAAAGAGCCAGGCACATCTGAGGAGCAATGCAGGGTTTGGACATTTTCAACATGCAAGTCAGCCCACATCTGTCCTCCTCTATAGGAATAAAAGAGCTCAGGGCCAGAAATTTATTGGCTTGAGCACCTTAGTTAAATACCTGAGGCTGGTTGGGACAAATCTTCCACCTCTCTTTCAGTTTCATCAGTGGTAAAATAGAGTAACAGCTACTTCAAAGAGACAGTAAAAACTTTTAAATCTGTATACTGCATCTACATCCACTTGATGAACGTAGGGAAGGGTACAATGTTAGCCCCCAAGACAAGAGAAAGGCTATGAAAGTTCAGGGCTTGTGTTGGGATTACTGTATCAAAAATGTATGAGGAATGAAAATCTTAAGCACATTTGTCACATTTACTGAAGTAAAGTTTTCAATAAAACGTAGCAGTGAGTTATAGTGAGAAATATGATCGCTTTAACATGGTAACTGATGCTCTGCAAATCTGAGGGCTCACTCCCTTTATCTTGAGTGAGGAAGATGAACACAAAAGAAAAAATTCCTGTTTCTTGTAAAACCCACGGAGTATCAAGTACCAAATGTTTGTTTTGCTTTACTGTGATAAATTGATTTTTGTAGTATAATTTAGAGTTAGTCATATGCAGTTATCTTCCTATTATCTTGTTAAATTTCTTCCCTTGAGGTTATCTGTTTCAGTGCACTCAGTGCTTATGTCTGGTGTTATACGCTACACACGTGTGGAATACTGTAGTTAAATACTTCAAAAATTTGATGTGAAATTCCTCCTCTTTCCTAAGTGAAAAAAGGTAGTGGACAGAACTCAAGCTGACAAGTGAGGAGAGATTAGAGACAGAGGGAAGAAACAGTAGAAGCAGCAAATTCATTGCATGCCTAGGGAATTATCTTTTTCCCCTTGAGATGATTATCGATGCATATCCTAGACTTTCATTCAAATGGAAAGGTTCTTTCGTAAGTGACAGAAACCGTAACTTTTCAAAGTTGAAGGAAAATTCTTTTGTACTGTGATAATTTGCTATGTAGAGAACCTCCACGTCTAATACCAAATCCTTTTAAAACTTGCTAAATGTTCAGCTCTCGGAGGCTAAAATTTTTGGTGCCCATCAACTTGTTGTAATTATTTGCAGTTACACAGCTATGTGTTTTTTAAATGATGTTATTACAATTGCATTCACAGTGTTTCAGCACTTTGTGCATAGTAAGCATTTTTGCCTGTAGATTGAAGTTTAAATTTTCATATGGTACTCCTGAATGAGCCTGGAAGAATAAATAAATCCAATATAAACAAAGATCTATTTTATGTGATTTACTCTTTTTAATTGTGTGCCATACTGGCAATCTCTGGGTTAAGCCTTCCTTCAGTCCTTCCTCCGTTTTTTTTTTTGGTGCTAGTTCCACTAAGTATATTGACCAGACGGAAAGCTTGTTGATGTATGTGCCACTAACAAGTTCATTTTTTTTAATACTTCCCTCTTGAATAAATCAAGTCTGTCTCATTTCAGGACTCTGCAGACTGTTGGACCTTCTCATGCCAGGACATACACAGTAGCTGTTTATTTCAAAGGCGAAAGAATAGGATGTGGTAAAGGACCAAGGTACTGTGAAAAATTGATGGCATGATATTAAAGTTTATTCAACTCAGGAAGTGTCCAGAATTATCAACCATGAAGGTAGGCAAGTGTCCAACTAGCTTCAGAAAAGGAAAGCTTTAGAGCCTTTCTCAAGTTATTCGGAGTTTCTGCCTCAATCTTATTTTAATACCTGAAGGGTTCAATACCTGAATACATTTAGGCCTTAAGTTTTTTTAGGTGAACCTACCAGCACGCTGGCCAGCAATCTTGACCTGTCGTGACTCACAGGATGGAAACTACAGAGCAGTTTCCTGAAAATACTGACTTCAGTTTTAGTTTTGCTACTAAATTATGGTCCAAAATAAGCTGGCAAGGTAAGGATGAAAGGCTCTCAGACCTGATATTTTAATTTTTAGGCATGGAAAGAAAAAAGGTGGACATTTTGGGATGGTTTACGAAGTTACAAAGACTTCACTTAGGAACCCAAAGTACCTAATTTTATTTTGTGGTACCAAGTTTGTGGTATAAAAATATCATTGGTTTTATAGCAGTCAAACCTCTGTGATTTTGTTCCTTTTTTCTCTCAAGTCAAAGCAAATGCTTCAGTAAAGAAGAATGAGCTAGAATATTCTGTTAATGTTATTGCTCTAATTTTAAAAATATTATACTGGAGCTGTCGTGCTATTGTTTGCCTATTTGTGGAAAGGTTGATATATCATACACCATGGGAGTTACTAGCTAAAGATTAGCTGAAGAGTTTTATTACAGAAGAGTAGCCAGTGCTTCATTTTTTTGGAAATTGTGGTTTATTCTGTACAACTTAGATTAAATGTAACACATTTTTGTTTGGCTTTGACAGTATTCAGCAAGCGGAAATGGGAGCTGCAATGGATGCACTTGAAAAATGTAAGAACTTTGCTTGGACAACAAAGAAAATTATTTATATTTTAGTCCCTTAGACTTTGATGGGGTGAAGTGCGTGTTTTGTAGGGGAGAAGAACAGAATAGAGCATATATACTGAATGCTGTCAGCTTCTGAGCAACAGGTTTGCCTATTAGTGCTTTCTAGGCAACTTTGTAAAAAGTGGAGTTAGTATGATCCCAACAGGTATTTTTTTTAGAGGGAATTTTAGATCTGTTACAGAGACAGCAACTTAAAGGGAACCCTGTGCAATAAAGTCTCACTGAGATTTTTCCATGCATTGAACATGTAACGGGATAAGCCTGCTTCATCTCAGATAGTCAGGTTGTCTCATGCTCTGGTTTGGGGGTGAAGGAATACTACTTTTCATTCGCCAGTTTAGAAGATAAAATTTGATCCTGGATTATGCAGTAGGCTAGGCTAAAGACTAACATGCAGATGCTCGGCCCATGTAACTCAATACTAATCTGTTAACAGCAGTTTGTATTAGCTGAGCATCAGGTCATCTTCAGATACTTTCAGAAATATGCACAGAAAATGCAGCATGGGAGCAGTCCGTCATTGCAAGGGCATCTCAAAAATGAATCTAGTTAAAATGCCAGCTGTGCAGGTACTGTTAATAAATAGCTAACATGTTCTGTGCAACAGAAGCTCTCTGTGCAGGAGGACTAGAGGAAGTCAGCTTTTACACTTCACTGACAGGACAGATCTGCAGTTCCTCAGATGTCAAAAAAGTTTTTAATCCATAACCTCTGCATTCAGAAATTCCAAGCCTTAAAACTTTCAGAAGACAACGCAGTGCACAAGTGCACCCTGTAGTTCAAAATTGTTCAGATCCATCTGATAGACGGATACTTCACCCGACCAGTAAATTTGATAAGTGGAAGACATAACTTCCCTTTTTCATTGAATAACTACAACAATTTCCTGAACTTTTCCTTCTGAGTGTGTTTTCTTGTGACAATATCATCTTTCATAAAGAGCCATGAATACCGTAGAATAGTTTAGGTTGGGAGGGAAACGACCCCTTAAAGTAGAGCGAACTTTGAAGCTAGATTGTGTTGCTTTGGCCTTGTCCAGTCGAGTTTGACAATCTTTAGGGATGGAGACTCTACAACCCCTTTGGGCAGCTTTTCCTGTGTGTGTATGTTTATATGGAGTGAGTTTTTTGTTTCCTTTTTTGTCTTTTTTTTTTTTTTAACATATGCATGAATAGTTAATTTCAAACAAAAGTCATTTTCTTGTACCTGTTTATACATCTGATAGCTCTGATGATTTTATTACATAAATTTCTTTCTCCACATCATAAATGGATTATTAACAAGCAGGTTGCTACCAAACAGAATTCTTAAAGAATTATGTTTCAGGCACAGTGCTGAAAATACTATTTTCATTTTATGGTACACATGAGCAACAAAATCTCCCGGAACTCCATTAAACACAAAGCACTGGAGTTTTAAAAACAACAGTAATTTAAAAACAATTTGCTTTTGTTTAAATTGTTTTCTGTTTTAAATAAATAAATCCTCCTATGCCCAAGTTCTGAATAACTGATGGATAAACCTTTTATTCATGTAGTATATAATAAAATGCACAAATTTCACCAGCCAATAAAACACAGACGTGGAAAGTCACTTTGCTGTAACAGAAACTCCTACAAATAAGGTGGCTTCTGCACCGTCTTCTCCAGCTGAACAAATCTATATTGCCTGGGACCAGAAAAGGGGAGGAAAATTCTCTTGGGGAAAAACCCACCCAGATCCCCAGTCTTTCTTGGTGCCAAGGGGCCCCACATTTAGGAGTCTCAGCTGAATTTGCTCTTGGTAACTAACTACAGAAAGGAGCAGTCTTTTGCTAAGACAAATCCCAGGCTTCTTTATGGCTTTAAAGGTCAGCATAGTAAACTTCTGCATTCATCTCAGACCCAGATAGGTAGCCAATGCTGATCCCAGCGCTCTGCTGCTGTGTGATCCCAGCAGGATTTACCACCAGCTGCAGGCTGCCACATATTCTGACACTTCTTTAGTTTCTTACTGGCTGGAGGGAGCACATCCGAGCAGTTGTCCACAGCACCCGGGTCATGCAGAAAATATCGTACCCTGTCAGCGGTGCACTGAACTAGAGAGCAATTCTGATCACTTACATAAGCTGCTTTTATAGCCTCAGTTCTAATTTATGAACCTAGATACCAGCAGATGGCCAAATGTCTGAAATCAGAATGGTCAGTCTCCCCTAGCTATTTCTGCATCACTTCAGCTTTGTCTAGGTTATTTTTCAGTGAGATTTCACTCGTGCACGCTCCTAGATTGTGCTAAATAAGTCTTTATACTAGTTCGTAGCTAAGCTGTAACTTCTCAAGAATGGATTTTATTGCAATCCATTCTTCTGCGGTATTCTTTTACCATTAGGAACCCTGCCATAATGTGGGATTTTGCATCGTCTTAAAACAATGATGATAATGGGATCCTCTGCACAGTGCTTGGAACTAGTGACTCCTACCTTTTGGACTGAGAACAAGGGGAAAAGGCCCTTGTGCGGGAAAAACCCACATTCATTTTTCAGTATTGACTACCTACTGCTAAGGGAATAGAACGTAAAATCTAGGTAATACCTGGCCATGTTGCTATACTAGAATTTTATATTTCTGTTTTTGAGTGCATTATATTTGGCAGTGCTTTGTAGCAGGAGAAGCAGATGTGGAAATCATCTAGAAACCAAGGCCTTATGACACAGAGCCCTGGTTCACTGTTAGAGTGGACTGTTATAAATGAGTAAAAACGATAATGTTATTCCTCCCTCCCCCCCAACTCCTAACCTTATCAAAGTTAAAAAGTAAAATAAAAGCTGAGGCTTTCTCTGTGTTACCAGTTTGTTTATTAATGTAAAATATTTCTCCTTGTGTCAGATAACTTTCCCCAGATGGCCCATCAGAAACGGTTCATTGAACGGAAATACAGACAAGAGTTGAAAGAAATGAGGTGGGAAAGAGAGCATCAAGAGAGAGAGCCAGATGAAACTGAAGAAGCAAGGAAATAAAAGGAGGGCACGGAAGCAGTGGCATATTTACTTACTTAATAACTCTGACTGTGGCCTTTGGAGACCTAACCTAGTTTCTTGCGGATGATGAATGAAGTGTGCCTGTTGGGTATCAAATACAAAATCATAATCTCTCCTTTAAAAAGTGTGTGTATATAGAGAACATTTCTTTAGTTTGGTTTTAACTACAAACTTTGTTTTTTTCTCCACTGAGATTTGTTTTTAAGTCTTTATAATTTTAATGAAAAGCTGTGGGATTATTTTCGTTGTTTTTAATGTCTTATATGAAATAATAAAATAATAATTTCAAAAATCTGTAGGAAGAAAAACTGTTTAACGAATGTTTCCTACGTCCAAATGTTATTGTGTCAGCGATCAGCAAAGTTATTGCATGAACTCAGCTACAGAGGAAGAAAGTGTTGTGACATTAATTCAGCAGAGCACTTAAGCATGTACCTCACCCAAATCTTGCAGCTAAAGGTACTTCTTGACTCTGCTAAACCAGAGTCATAAATTTCTGGTCAGTAGATTGGTAAAGTAACTTTAGCACAGGAAATACTTTTGTTATAAGCAGTGGAACTAGGTTTCCACTGAAGAGTGACACTACTGTGTGTGGAAGGTTGGATTTTTGGTCTTTAAGTCAGTACTGTAAAATTCTGGAAGGGGAAAAAAAAAACATGGTAATTATAAAGCAAAGGAATGATAACTTTGTGTACAGAATGTACTGAATTTACAAATTTTGTGTCATTTTCAACTTGTTTTTTATCATACTGATGCCTACTTTAATAGGTTCCTTTGTCCAGAAGATAATCAGTGTGGTCCTGAGGGTCAAATGTTGTATTTGAGACTCCATACAGATACTGTTCGAAATAAGTCCTTTGAAAACCAGTTGTATCCATAGGAGGGCAGGATTTGTTCGCTATTTACAGTTCAAAAATGGAGTAGAGTTAAAGTCCACAACATCCATTTCTGCTGTGTATGATTTTGCGTATGGACAACCAATATACACCACCCAGTTACCTTTATTTTTGAAGTCTGTGGCTTGCATTAGGCAGAAAAACACTTCTTAGAAAACATCTGATTCTTATTTTGAGGTACCAGGCAGTGGAACATCCACTGTGTCTGTTGGTGGTTTGTCCCCCTGATTACTGGGTTCATTGTAAACATTTGTGCATTATTCCTATTTTTAATTTTCCTGTTTCAAGCCATTTATTTCTGTAATTCTATTTTCTACTAGCTTAAAGAGTCTCTTACTGTCATTGTGTTCTGCCTGTGAAGGTGCTGATTTGCTGTAGTCAAGTCACCTTTCCCTCTTCCTTTTTCTCATTAGCAAAACAGATGCAACTCTTAAAACATTTTATTTTCTTCCTCCTTTGGATCTTTTTTGGTGGGTCACTTCTTTTTTTCTAGTATGAATAACACAGATGTATTTGATGAGGCATCACCTAGTTTCATGAACACAGATACATGGATCTTGCCCAGAAAACTCCTGCAGGCTCCTAAGAGAAAACTTTCGGCACAAGGACTTTTGACAGTGATTTCTAGTATTAGTTCCTAATACTAGCTCATCAGTTTCCTGAAGTAACTTGCTGGAGGTGTGTGACGGAGATCCCTGAAAGCACTTTCTTGCAAATGCCAAAGTGGTGTAGCTGAAAAATTCAGACTACAAAAATGTTTTTCTGAATTTTCACCTAGGAGCTAATGAGTACATGCATTTTCATAAGCACATTTTTTGTTCTCACACAACATGAGCCGTGCTTACACGTGTTTTTGAAAGCTTGACCCCACAGCACTACCTCACTTCTTCCAGCTTGTACAATTGCCTTTTCTTAATGGATTGGTGCTTTAAATCTATTTCAGACGATGAGACAAAAAAAACATTCTGCAAGCTGAAGAGTGATAATAAACCATTAAAACATAGAGGAGGGGGATGAAAAAACAACACCATAAAGGCAAGGAGCTGTTCTTTGACTTCTGAGAAGTGATTGCAGCTCCTTACAGCTTCAGTCTGTAAATAAAAAGCTGAAATGTTTTTTAACAGCAGCAGGCTTACAAAAAAAATAACAACTATGAACCTCTTTTCCCCAAATCTTTTGTGTTTCCAATCCTTTTGTACAATTACCCATCTGCTTCTAGCAATAGGCTGAACTGGTGCAGTGGTAGAGGGGTACAGGCTATTGAGTACACCATTACTTATTTTCCCATCTTAAGTGTGATCAGATCCATGCACTTAAAATCAGCAATGACTTCGTTTACAGGTATATGATTGCTCTGCAAATTTCTCCTATCATTTATGATATGACCGGAATACCCTAGTGGAATTTTTGGGTCATAGTTTGAAATTGCTTTTATTTTCTATGCATAGCATCCAACTTTTCACATGTATGAATTATTGTTATTCATAAACATTTGCATAAAAATAGATTGGATTTATCAGATACACTGTTTGGGGAAGGAATCCAAGACTTTTCTCTCAGATAGTTCTTGTTAGATGCAGAAATTGGTTTTTTTTTTTAAAAAAAAAAAGCTAACATTTAAAATGATTTCTGTATTCTATTATTACAGTTAACAGATCTTTGGTCTTCCACTATAAAATGTAAAAGATGACCACTTTTCATGTCTGTGGTGTATTTTCCATTTACCAGGTGCAAAATGCCAAAATATAGGCTAGGGAGAGTTCCTGAAGAAATCTTGTTTTCCTTGTCCTGGAAGGCAGAAAACTAAAATGGAAAAGAAATGAATCAAAAGATCACTTTGTGTGCAAAACACAGTGGATCGGAATACTTTCAGTCGTTTAGATGGATGTCTGCAGTAGCTAACGTGAACACAATATCGAGAACGGGCAAGGGCGATAGTCGCCGGTGCATACCAAGGGCACAAGCGGTCCAAGAACGAGAACGCGACGTGCCCCTCAACAGCGAGATTTAGGGGTGCCTGAGAGGAGCCGTTGTTTCCGATGCTTAGCCATGACTGTCGACACCTCTCGCTATGCAGCCCGAACGACAGGAAAGGAACTGGAGAGCGCATGATCCCTGAGCACATCGAGAGAAATCGATGCGTCCTGACAGGGGCTGAGAGCTCTGGCAGTTGTGGCCTAGCCAAATGTCTGGAAAATGAGACTCTTCGAGGCCTGGCCAAACTGAGCATGGTCCATGGGGAGAGTGTCCGGGGCCTCCCAAGAGCCACACTGCTCCGTGAGCGAAACCTAGGGAGGCCAGGCCACATCCAGAGGAATCGATGCCTCTCGATAGGGATCGATATCGATACCCATCAACAGGGGAATAAGGATAGAGATTGAGATTTTTGTGGCCCAGCAGGTCCTCCTCCTTGAACAGAGTTGCAATATATAATGCACTTTATTTAATTAGAGTTTTCACTGAAGATAGATATAAAAAAATCATAATTCTTATTAGCAGGGTCTAAGTTCACTTGGTGAGATTTCAGTTTCTGCAAGATTATTAAATGATGATTTGAAGAGAAGCTTTGACTCTAAATTGCTTGTGTATATTGTTGTTACTAAAATTTTCCAAAAGAGACTTCAGTTATGGCTGTTACTCCCTAAAATAATTCAGAAAGATCAAAAGACAAATCCTGATCATCTTTCTTCTACTTCAAAGACTATATTTGATTATACAGGGTATATATTTACATGAATTAGGTGGTTCACTTGTAAGATGTTTCTGTTTGGTGGAAATTTATATAAGGGCTATAAGGAGCCCTAGAAGGTCCTAGGGAGTTGAACATACACATGGTATACTGTCTGTGGTGGGGACTGTATTATGATAGAAATTTCTTTAACTCGTACATCCCACCTACCCCACCCTGCTAGCATAGCATTGGGATAGACATCCTGGAGTCTGCTGTTTGTGTTGCTTCATTTATAGCTTGGCAACTATGCCAAATAACCTGGAAAGTCGCTGGCAGAATAATGACCTCACATTTTCTTATACACCAAAAAGTAAAATTATCATAATTCAGTAGGTGGAGCAAGGAATCAGATCCCTCATCTGTCACTACCATGTCTCAATATCCTTTATTCTTACTGCAGAACTACTCATTAGACTGTCACTCATCTCAAATGCGTTTTGTTTGAAAGCCAGAATAAAAACTTGTATTTTGAAGACATACTCTCCCTTTGATGTATAATAACTCCCATTAAAATGAGGTGCAAATCTAGAGGTATACTGGTCACTTTGAATTATAGGCTGGGTGGAGACTTTTAGCTTATTGAGAATGGTCTTTTGTAAATTTTCCTTTCCTTTCCCCTCCCCCCCCCTCATATTCTTAGGTATTTTGTGTTCCCAGCTTGAACTGCAGATTATATGTTTCTTAGCAAATTTGTCATGTTTACCTAAGTACTTTGTCTACCTAGGAATGAAATGCAAGGTAAGACCATCCATTACAAACTTTGTTTAGTGTTTCTTTGTATTCCTGTTTTAAAGCAGTTCTGCAGAAAGAAATAAAGGTGGATGACTGCATGGGTCTTATTTTGTTTTCCTTACTTTCTTCATGGCAGCCTGCCTCACTGCTATTGTAGTGAGATGCTCAGCTAGCGCATCTCTCAGAAGCTTGCAGAAGAGAGGACCTTCTTAATCTCTTTACATCCGTTTTCTACTCATAGGCACATTCTTGATCCGGAAGGTAATGAGCTGAGGGAAAGCAGCCTTCCTGACTCTGGAGTGCATTGGCTGATATCAACTGTTCAAAATGCTGGAAGATCTGCCAAGGAGTCACAAAAACAGTGCAGTCAAAGAGGCTGACCCAGCAGCTGCAGCAGAGTGCATTGGCTAGGAACAGGTAGGCTGATTCTGTGAAGAAAAATTAAAAGAAAGATCTGCTGCATTTTCAAAAGCTAAAAGACAAGGGCTACTCTAAGAAAAAAATGACCATGTTCTGTCACTCTTCTGAATTTTTCATTCCTGTGCCTGTTCTTCCAGGCACCCTTGCAGTTTCCTAGATTCTTTCTGGGGTCCTGAGGTGAAAAAGGTTGTGTGCTCCATCCGTTTAGATTTCCCCACCTATAAGGGAGCAGGTTTTTCTCAGAGACCCTTTTCTTCACCTGCTTGCTATAGATAGCAAAGGGAGCACCAAATAAATATATTCAAAGCCTCATTAAACTGATGTATTTTCCCTTTGTCTAAATCATCATTGCATTCCTCAGAGTGATTCAAAAATCTTTCACAAGCAAGGGTATAAATGTCACTTCTGTGACTTCCATTACAGTCATATCTGAATGCCTCAAAAATGTGATTTTGTTGCTCTTCACAATACCCCTGAAGAGAAGAAAGCACTATTAACTGTATTGTATTGCTGACGAGTGAAAACAGCGACTAAATTGTCACTCAAGTCCAGGCCTCAGGATGTCTACAGTGGAGCAAGATGCCTCATCTAGTGAATGCCCTGGTCTGTGGAGTAAGCATCCTTTTTGCTTTGAAAGCCTGCTACATTTCTCTTCCCATGCCTGATTGCCTCTTTGAGGAAGAAAGGGGGAACTTAGTTATACAAGCTGGGCAATGTCACCCTTATCCTTTTTTCCTGTGGAACCTCAGAAAACAATGATTTAGAGGAGCTCTAGAAGTAGGGCTCTACTACGAGAAGCCAGAGCCCAAACACTGTATCACTAGTACTCTTCCCAACAAGAAGAATGAATTTAAAACTTCCCCTTAAAGCAGACATTTCCAAAGTAATTCATTTGGATTAAGAGCAAAAGGCAGACTGCTGAGGTTACAAATCATGAACTTCTACTGGCAGCAGCAGAAACTCATGCACTGGGAGTGCAGACCTGAGACATCAGTACTGGGTGAGCGTTCCTTAGTGGAGGTAGTGTCCTATTTTTTTTAAAGATGGGAATGGTGGACATGGGAATCCTGACCCCACTGAAGCCAGCTAAGCCAACATTTCTAACAAAATTTACTTCCCCTGCAGACTTCTCCAGTCATTACTTCGGCCAGTTACTGTGCCAGAACAGTTCTGATATGGTGACCAGCTAAGAAATGTTTCTGTTGCCAACTAGAATGATAATTCAAATATTGAAGCTCTGTTTCCAGAGGGATATTTGAACTGGTAAAGAAATAGCAGCCATCTCCCCATCCAAGAGCACTTGAAAACACTGATGTTATTCAATATCCAATTATACAGTTTCTTAAAAAAAAAAAAAAAGAAAAGAAAAAATTCAACTAAAATTCTCTAAGATAAAAATTTTGAATGACTTAATCGGACAAATCATCCCAAATTGTTGCTTTTACCTTCCATTCTTGGGATGATAAACAATGTCAAACACATGAGAATCTTCTAGCTTTGTCATCATTAACAAAAAAATAAATTTAATGCCATCTGAAAGAAAATTAAGAAAAACTTCTGCTTTAATCTTTGATGTTTCAAATTTCTGTTACTCAAATACTGTTGTCACCTTCCTCCTGCCAAAAATAAAAAAAAAACCCCTCAAATATTTCAAATGTTTTCCACCTGCCAGAATGTCAGATTTTACAACTCACGTCCTGGCTCAGAAAATCTGTCTGTAAACTCACAATCTAAAACAAATTGTGTTTTAATGCTTACTTTTTTTGAATCAGGGCTTGATCTGACATCCAAAATGGTGGGACATCATTGCCAACCTTCTAATCCGCAAAATTTCAGAAAAATGAGCGGCTTTGCTCTGCAACTATTTTTCAAGATTTCCCATTCTTCTTGCTGCCATTGTTTTCTTTGCTCTGTAGCACTTCTATTTCAAAGTTGCTTGTTCCTTACGTATGGTTAGTGATGCAGTATCAATTTCAATTCCTTGCTCATTCTGAGCAAAAGCAAATAAACTACCTTGAACTCTTTGCCCTTGCAGGCCATACTTCACCATTTCTATCAGACATAAAATGCCAACATCAAGAACAAAAACCTCACCAGGCAAAAACCTCCATGCAAACAAAATACTGAATCTTGCAATATAGTTTTAGGGGATTCTGTAGGACATTTTAAGAGGGATTGTAAGGTCCTAATAGGACTTCAGAGACATAGTTAAGTACTTTTTGCAGCTTACATCATTGTGAATTTATGCAATTAGGTCAAGTTTGGCATTTATTTCAGCTGGCAGCTTATAAATGGACATTTATACATGCAAGAGAGGACAGAGAGGTAAGAAAAAAACATAACTTATCTAAAACACTAGAAAAAGGGCTATTTCAGTACTGACTACTAAGCAGCAGACTGATTTGGATAGAAAAATATATTAACCACTTTCAAATAAGTGCCAAAAAGTACAGATTTTCCATCTAACATAAATACAATTATGTGCCATTTGCCTGAGATAAAGATGGCTTTAAAAATGCATTAGGAGTTGAGTTTTATGCAAAACTACAGTATAAATCTAAAAGATAAGGTATAGTGAAATCAATACTTCTTATTAGAAGTAAAAGCAAGGCAATAAAACTTTAAAATCCTAAGACACAGAGGTGGGAAATATTCTAGCAAAGCTGTAATAGGTATCTGGAGTTTAATTAGGAACATATTTGAATGTATGTGTGTGGGATAAACACAAATAAATATACATATATTTATTTATGAAGTATATAAAATTTTCAGACTCATTACAACATGGTACTTTTTACCAAGGGAAAAGAGAGAAGAAAAAAAAAAAAAAGTCTCCTCTGTGTTATGTGTTTGTGTAGCTGGTATTAAAATACTGTTTGTATTGTAGTAGTATCTGAAGATCTCCACTAGCATTAGGACTTTTCATGCCAGCCTCTATAAGAGCAAAATGACAGTCCCTGACCCAGAAAGAAATAGAAAGCAAGCAATGACTTACTCAGAGTCACAGAACAGGTCAAGGGTAGAAATGAGAACAGAACCTGACTGAGTCTGTCAACTCTCAGCTGAGGTTTGTCCTCTCATCATGCCACAGAGCTATTTATTTACAGCTTCGGAGATACTTAGCTTTAGAGATTATAGCTGTTTTATTTCTGCATTAATGTAGACATTTTAAATTTCATGCACAGCAGACTAGAATGCAGTTTTACATAATCTCCTTCATAGTGAAGGCTCATGAAAGTAATTAAAAAAGTGATGCGTGTTAAAAGAAAATGCAAGTGATTGGTACTGTCCAGTAAAAGTCTCTCTCTGCACCCAAAATGTTCGGGTTTGCCTGCTGTTGTTAACTCCTGCTGAGGTAACTCAGATTCATAGCTCTAAGGTCTACCATTCAGTATTTCGTCATGGGCGGTGTGACAGCTGTCACTCGTGTAGTAACAAGCAGTGTTGTTTGTGCTGTGGTAGAGCTGGAGTTAGCTCCGTGGTATATACACAGGGTGAGACAAATGTCTATTCTGGATTCAGGGCCAGGCACTATGCCTGCTGTTTTTCAGTCTGATTGTATCCCCACCAAGCCCATTAGAGGTTAGTATCTCTCTATGCACGTGTAATATACTTCCAGCATGGTTATAAAAGAAAATAAGGGTGTAAAGAGCGGTGCTCTCAACTTGATTTCAAGGTGCCAAAGCAATTTCCTTGTTTCCTTGAAAAGAAGTTATTTGCAAATTGTTTGCCCTCCAATAGCTGTCACAGATAATAGAAAGAGCTGTGGATTAATGTCATTAAAAGAGAAAGAGTACCCCTTGAAGCACAATTTCTCTTTTGCAAGAAAAAGTAGTGGCCTCAAAACTCAGTGACAGTAGCAGGAGATGGAGGTAGAGGTGAGACTGCTCCCCTGTGTGCTTGGGCATAGCTCCCTGCCTGGATCATGACTAGGGGGAACGTGCTGGCTCCTAGATAGGCTTGCAGGAACGTGCCAAGTTCAGTTTCAGTCACTGAGAAATGCTGTGGCTGCGGCAGGTCAAGCACGGTGAGGTTTAGCCTCACCTCAACTCACAGAAACTAATGAGACAGGAAAGAGCACAAGGTAGACTCAGGACCTCTGTTGTTACAAACAGTAGCTAGTCTCTGGCCAAAACAGCATTTCCCGAGGGGCACTGAGGAAAAAGTCTAGATGTCAAGAAGACAGTATACATGCAGCAGAGCTCAATTCAGTCAATCACTGCATCCACATTGTTTGGTAATGGCTTACTTTGTGCCTTGCTGTGGTGCTGGGGGATTTTTGCCTGGTCACACATGCGCGCCCACACACACTGTAGACATGGGCATACATATGTGTATACAGGTTAAACAGGTATTTGTGCATATGTATAAAAAAAGTTTGGGGAATGCAAGAGGCCCAGGGAGACAGCTGCATGATTGCTTCACCTCCTAGGCAGATCTGTCATTCTGGGCTACAGAACTGGTTTGTTTATTCTATTTAATGATACTGACCTTTGTGTTGAAGAGGTTGGCCTGTTGCAAAGCTAGGATTTGTGGCCTTTTGGGACTTCAGCTGTTTGGAAGACTGAGGGTATTTCTTACTACATCGGGTCCAAAGAGAAAGACTTCTGATGACCCAGCTGCCCTTATAACTCATTTGCCCTTTAC